TTCCACGGAAAGATGAACCGCTCGCTGATGGAATCCATCCGAAATATCTATGCGGTACTCCAACGTCCTGTTCCGTCACTCATTTACGATCGAGTAAGAAAATGGAGCATTGCGGTGGGCGCGGTTCACTTGGTTACGTGGTGTAACGCCACGCCACTTCACAGTGACCGACCAACTCGGTCGCTTTAACTTGTACACCTATCTACTCCGTCCGGGTAGAAAAAAAAAAGCGAGAGAGAAAACCGATAAAAGTGTACACCTGGACTATTAATTATTAGCAGGGTTACACTTTGTGTCGTCGAGGTGATCGAACGTTCCCGTGGATCGTTTTCCTAATCTCCGTGAACCTTGCTCGATCTATCATGCGAGTTTTCAACGATCTTGTCGCAACAAGTTATCTTGTAAGTTATGTCACTTCTGCTGGATGAAGCATTATCCATTTTGAAGTTTCAGAAGGAAGGTTGGACGATAAGTGACGCTTGTGGCGAATAATTTGATACAGAATACGTTAATGGACGCGAAAGTAGCAATGTTAACATTTTAAGTAGGGAGTTGGGTCAGATAGACCCAAATTTATAAAATGTGTTCGAGAACATTAACCTGAAGTTAAATGTATCATTTTTAATTGAAAGAGTTTCATATATTATAAATTATAAATAATATAACGTAGGAAATTAAATTAGAACTAGGGCACTCTCCATGGTCCGCCATCCGTCAGCCGAGGTTCGAGTTTACACGGGTCGCCTTCGTATTTCCATGACGAGTTAACTCGTCATACCCAATTGAAAGGTTAAATTGAAGAACTAATGAGCTACTAACGAGTATCAATAGCTATTGATTCACAGACTGACCGAGTGTAAATTACTTTTATAGAATGACCTAATGACATCAGATCGTAGTAGCATTACGCGATCCGGTGATTATAATTGCGAAATTATCGCGTTACATTATCGGAAAGGAAAATATTGACGTAATGGTCTGATAATATTTGCCGAATGGTATTGTACCTCGAACAGGCGTCGGGAAGGGCCGAGGGGAAGAACAAATCGTTTTGGTTCGCGATCATTGTGCAGTGTAACTCGACCGAACGCGACTCCATTAATTTCAATTGCGCGTTTAGACTCGCATTTAATCGTGCCTTTGTCCCCACGGATACGTGACGCTAATTTTACACCTGCATGGTCGCCACGGGGACAGTCTCGTACGTTACTGTCATTCAACCCGAACTTTGTCAACGTTCATACAACGATACTTTACCGTGATCCAACTTTGCATCAAGTATATGAAAATCTGGTAGGTTTATTTGAAATCTAGAATTAATAATAGGTAGCTAATTGCAACGCGAAACGCTTTAATTAAATTTCAAGTGCTCCGTTCGCTATTTTTCATGAATTCCTAGAAGACAAACGTACGGAGTGGTCTTAACCGCGAAAGAATTGCTCCGCTTTGTTTCTCCTGACAACTTACACGTAAGAAATGTAATGTATTTTACACGAGATCGTGGTTCGATACATAACATACATCACGAGAAGCAATTACCCGAAGCGTTTAAGCAATCCCGGAGGGATCTGCTCTAAGTAATCGCGTTGCACGCGATTCTTCTGTACGACGGAGGATGCGAGGAAAAGTGAAAATGTCCCTGGGAAAGTGTGTTCGAAAACACGGTCGCGCGTTATTCACCGCTATGAATACTAATTTCACGATCGGTCCAGGTGAGGAATTCAATGCCGGGCCCGGTAGGATCGTAATCGAGCGGATTAAGCAGTCGATAAAACGGGAATTCGGGCGCGGTTCAACGACGCCCGACAACGATTAAAAGAGGAAAAAGCGGATGTCACGCTCGTTCCTCGGATTATACGATAATACGTGGGCTAATCTGATGAAATGGGAAATCGAATGGCGGTGAAACGATAAAAGGCGACGTTTACCAACGAAGATTCTTCGTCATTCGGAATAAACAGAAGGCGAATTGTACGAAATCCTCGTCAAAGTTGGAACAAAGTTAACTAACAAGCTTCGCTGATTTCCCCTACGATATTTTATCGTTAATCGGTCAATTTCTGATTTCATACCGCGGAATTAAGATACTAGGGATAAACCGCAGGATGGTTTGAAGAATTCATCCCTGAGTTTCGGTCGTTCCGTCGAAATAACCTGGCAACTGATCAAAATGAAGAAGAAAAAAAGTTTCAAAGCACGCGAAGAATCGCGACGAACGAGGAATGGGGAAATCTGAACACGAAGCAGAGGCAGACGTTAATTCGAATGTAAATTTTGTCCCTGCATATAACCATGAGTGGATCATAAATTTGAATAATATCAATATATCCCGGCTACTAAATCACGTTCGCGTCATGCCTAGGCGAGACGATTGACTGACGATGACAGTCCTCTCGCCCTTAATGGTGTTTCTTGCATCACCGTTTTACATTTTATATGATTTTCTGTCGGCCGAAAAAACCTCGGAATTTCAATGGATAAAAAGCTGCGTGTCCCTAATGATTGAAAAATTGCAAACCGAAAGGATCATTGAACGAAAAGCGAAAAAATTGAAACAAAACGATAAACGCTAGGGGGATATCTACCCTTTCGTCGAGGATATACGATAATAGCGGCTTCTGGAAAGCCGATATTTCATCGAAAAATTGAATCGTAACGCGCTAGGATAGAGTGTTTTAATCAAGGATTTGCCGATAAAATGACAGAGAATCGCTGCTGGCACCGGAACTGCCACCGCGTCAGCAGGTTTTGACCATTCGTTTCTGCCGCATTTCCATGGAGACCTGAGTTCGCCTGACGCGCCGGAAGTGTCAGGCTTTATCCGGAAGCGTCGCGCGTTCCCGACGAAACGACCTTCCAAATCCTCGATTGAAAACCTTTCGTTCCCCTCCACCTTAAGCCTGAACGAAAATTGAAAAAAGTACACCGTCGAAACCGTCGTACCGATTTACTCCACGATTCTACGATCATTTCGTACCATTGAAAGGCAGATTCGTTTCACGGGCTTGGAATTGCTCGAAACTAACCGGCGATTTGTATTTATCGACCACGCATGCATTCAGGGAAATGATTGCGGTGAATTTGATCGACGTTTTCACGGATAAAGCCCATGGAACACTTGATTACCAGACAAACGATGATGGAACGTGACGATCGTTGTAAACGAAATCAAGTAACGTTTGTTTGCGTTGCGATTCTGTGCTTTGTAAAAAAATATAACGATCATTCCCGTCGTTATTGTTCCGCCGAAGGGTTTCGAAACGCATCCATAAATATCGAAACAATTTTCATCTATTCCGAGTCGGATGAAAATTCCAAGGAAACGTTAATCGATTTCTGTCGATGCGCCGATGAAAAATAATGTTCGACAGATCGCGGTGTCGATACGTGTCACGCGTACACTGTCAACAATGCGAGGGGAAAATTTTAATCGTGATCGATTCGACGCCCGATTCGAAAAAACGACCGTGTATCGCGTTCAATCTGCGAACGATATCGCGCAGCTGGAATTAACAGAGACGTCGTAAACGGAGGGGGTTGAAAAAAAGTGACAAATAATAAATTTTCATTGAAATTTATCGCGATCACTGTTCGGACAATGCAAAGGTATAAACATTGGAGAGGAGAAAAATATCGAAGGGAAAAAAGGAATGAGAGAGAGAGAGAGGGGGTTGAACTCCGTGGAGGGTGGAGATAGGGAGAGAGAAAGTAGAGGACTACGCCCAGGACCACGGCACCCCTTGAAAGCACTCCGACGTTTTCGCGCGATTCCGTTGGAGCTTTTCGATGGCTTTCCTTGGTAAAAGTTCAGGGAAAAGAAGCAATTTATTCCTCGTCCTGAACGAAGACGCGTTGCTGGCGGGGGAAAAAAAAAAAAGGGAGAAAGGAACGCGTCTCTGTATTTAACCGAGATTTCGCGTCGATCAACCAGTTCGTTCGTTTCTCGAATTGATTTCCTTTGAACGCGAATGAAAATGAAACAGAAATTCCTGTGCCTGGAAAGATACAGCTTTTCTGCTGCAACGTAATCGATCGATATTTCGCTGCGCTACTTCTTTCCCTTTTTTTTCCTTCTCCTTTTTTTTGCAGATAGAAAAGCAAATATTTGCCGGCTGTTTCAACGTTGATCTTTAATTTGAGAATAGAGGGAAAGAAGGTTCTGGGGTTTGAGCAAACGCGCAGTGTTAATTTTACTTTCTTCTCTTTTCTATTCCTTTTTACTCGCTACCGACGGCGAAACGGCAGGAAATTCAGAACAGTTTTCAGATTAGTGGTAGAAAAGCGATTGCGAGAGAGCAGGCTAGGATCGTGGAGAACTGTAAAAATCGAGAAAGGGGTGAAGGCGCGCGATCATTTCGTCCGTCAAACGAAAACAGTCGAAAGTCAAGAGCGGAGAATTTAATTAAACGCTTTTGTTTTTCTCGCGACGGGAACGCGTAACAATGACCAACGCCGTTCAAATTATTCACATCGACGGGCTAATTAAATTAAAATCCCGACACACGGGGTTTTCTTCCTCGTACGAGGCTCCCGATCCTCTTTCATTCCTTTATGCAAATGAAACACACCCTTAACGTTTTATTATTTCATCAAGAGCGGTGCTTTCGTTGACACCGTGTAAAATGCATTCGGGTATAATTGAAGCCGAGATGGTGAACGGGAACACGAAAACAGAAGAAAGGGAAACAAATGTACCGTTTGATCATCCATAGAACGTCCGATGAAAACGTAAACAGAGTATATCGAGTATTCCCTTAAGCTGTTGGACGGAAACGTTCGTATCGACAACAAAGGCTAGGCAAACTGGAACGTTTCGAAGTGCAGTTTGTTGAAAAGAAAGGTCGTACGTTCGACTCGAAGTCGATAGTTTTGAAATGCATATAGAAAGGAGAATAGAAAAAAAAAAAAAAAGAAAAATAGCACGGAAGATGAACGCATCGCGGTGTTACACATAGATAGGATAAGAAATTCGGGTAGCTGTCGAGATTGAGCGTACTCACGTTGCTCTGCCGGCGGGTGGGCACATTGCCCGCGGGCGTCGATGAGGAGTTAGGGTGAAGGACGAGCTACCGTATCCCGGGCGTGCTGTGTAACGAGCACGAGGACTTGGTGCGCCGTGCCGATTTACCCGCAGCAGTCCCCAGTCCTCGTCGCGTGGACGTGGCGCACCCGCACATATCCCCCACGTACTCGTCGTCGTGGTCGTAGTGGCTGTGGTCGCCGTCGTCTCTGACGCGGTTCCCGGCGTCGCCGTGACCGTGGTCGCGTCGTAGCTAGTCGTCGTAAGGGTGGCCGCGCGCGTCAACCCCGTGTGGTCGCGGACAGTCACCGTGGACCGAGAGACGTCACCGAGAGGTCAGCGTGAGACGCGCGGATAAACGGGGTCGGCTGGGCCTGGTTTGGTTTTAGCCGAGGCTCGACCGCACTGCGGGCAGGACGCGACCGGCCGGCCGGCACCGGTACCGTCAACTGAAACGTGAACACGAGGGTATCGCTAGACGGCGCACCAACAACACCAACACCCACCAGAAGGACGCGGCACCACCGATATATATATATATATGTATACGAATGTATACCCAGACCGACGACAACAAAACAAAAGGGCCGGACAGCTTCGCGGAACAGATCCGGGACGGCACAACAACCGCACTGCTTCTATAACGTGTGATTAACGAGAGACACCGTATATACTAGGATTGCCTCGTCCGCGCTACCAGCCATTCGATGGCCCGAGAACGTACGAGCCAGGGACTACGGCACCGCCACCGATTACAGTTACTTGCAGCGCCAGCGTACACAGAATCGTCGACAGGCTGCTCGCAGGAACGATCTTGAAAAACGCTTCGCTCGCTAACCTCCTCGTCGTCCTCGATCCAACAACATTCATCATCGATGATACTCTGCATGCGATCGTACTCGTCCTCGTACCCGTTGTCCTCGACCTGCGCGTCCTCGAGATCCTCGTGTTGCTGGACACGTACGTTCTCCTCGACGACGCGTTCGTCATGATTCCTTTAAAAATATCCCCGAACGCGATCCAGCTTGCCATAACCCAGCGGCTCCTGCCAGCCGCCAGCTCGACGACCGCGGACTACTTTCAGCCACCTTTCTAATTCTCCGACTCTCGTCTTATCCCTTCGATATTTCTTCGAAATTTTTCACAGGACCACGGCGACGAAACTCGACGACGATTACCGATTCCGTTCACCCTGATCCAATCTTTTCCTCTTTCGTTTCCTCCTCTCCGACGATTCTATCCAACGCGGACTCGCGATCATTCGCTGGCGACGATGATGCGGCACGCGCGACAGACCGCATAAGCGGCGGCCGCCTCTTCCACGAGGCTGACGACGATCATTCACCGCTCGCAGCACCCACCACTACACCACTACTACCACCACCACCACTACCATCACTATCGGCCACCGCCACCCTGAAGCCACGCTGACCTCCTACCGACTTCGACTTTCGTCTCCTCGACACACCTTTCGTTTCCACCCTCACCCTCTCGTCCAGCTTTTCTGTCCGCTTCTCGCCGATGCGCACGTACATACGTGTAACGCGTCTAACCGACCAAACGAAATCTCGCGGTGGTCGTCTTCGTCGTGGTAGTCGCCGTTACCGTCGTCGTCGTCGTCGCGGTCGTCTCACCGGTGACGAGGGTTTCGACCAGCCTCCTGCAACGCTTCGATTCTCTCATGATTACGAGCGTTGTGCACTCGTTGCACGTTCGCGACGCAAATATCCCGAGGGGTTTTCTCGCACTCGACGCACTGTGCCTGCTATTCCTCTCGGTCACCGAGCTTCCTACACCGTTTCCCAACGAACAAAACGGCGAACGCTGCTGGCAGCTGGCTTCCGTTCTCGTTCCCGTTCCCGTTTCCGTTCCCGTTCACGTTCCTCTCTATTATTTCTTGCCAGCCCGATCTTACTCGCGTGCCTGTTGACGCGCGTGTACGCGGTTTAGGCGCGTGACGATCAGTCAAGTCCAGTCAGTCACTCACTGAGCTGAAGGGTGCGCGCGTTCACTCGATCCTTGCACCGCTGCGGGTGCTGCACCAGGGAGTCGGTGTCGGTGCAGCAGGCACTCCCAGGACGCGTCTCTCTCTCTCTGGCAATGTTCCGACCGAGCAACCCACCTTAGCACTGACGCTCTGCCCGTTCCGCGGCAGGCGGAGGAGGTGGACGCGAGGCGGATGGCGGAGGTGGAGGAACGGGGTGTTGTGGCGAGCCGTATCTCAGCCTCTTGCTCACTCTAGTTCGCGCATTCGCCTTCTCCCTTCTTTCATCTCCCTCCTACCCTTCTACCGGATACTTCCTTCTCGCTTCTTCACCCTTACACGCCACCCTCGTCGCGTTCGCTGTACTCTCTACGCCGAAAGAGTCTCTCTCAGGTTAGAGCCCCGCCGCACCAAGCCACCCTGCGCCCCGGGAGCCAATACCAACCCATGTGGAAGCCCCGACGCGAGACGCTCGCGATCGCTTGCGAACTCGACCGAACGTAGCCGAAGCGACGCCACCCGTGCGCGCGCGACCACCACCCCCGTGTACTACCGACCAAACGTTCTACCCCCACCAGCCAGGTGCCGCCCCTGAAAGCTTGCGAAGCCCGCAAAACACGACGCACGGCCATGTGGCAGCACCGACAGGACCGGCTAACGAAACCGACCGACAACCGGCGAGTTTACACGAATCTAACCCGAGATGAACGGCGAGACCATGTGGAAACCTCGAGGCGGCGACGCGCCGACGAACCTCTACAGCTTTATTTTCTTATTCTTTTCGAATCTCGAATAGTAGAAATCTTTCGTCGTCGATTCGTAACATTCGGCAGGTTTGAAGAATTTTTTTTTTTTCTTTTTTTTTTCAATTTACCGATCGATCAGGGGAGGAATTCTTGCAAGGTCCATGGACAATGTTTCTTGTACGCAGTTCTAAGGTGGGGGAGGATTTTTTTCCGAAGAATTCTGACAGCGCCGAGGGTGCACCCTCGGACGGCACTGTGCACGACGCTCGAAAATCGACGAGTCGCTCTGTCTGTCTCTCCCTCTCTGTCTCCCCAGCCTGATCTACCCTGCGCTTTCCGTTCCACTTGTACGTGTTCAGCATCTCGCCTACCCTCTGTCCTTCCTCGTTGCCGTTCTCTCCACGAGGTATCCCAGTCGATACTGACACTGGCGGTGCGAGGTCGACTCGTCAGAGGGAGCTGAACGAAGTGCAGAAGCGGCAAAGGGGCGGAAGGGGTGGTTAGGAAAAAGAAAAAAAGAGAAACGAAGAGAGACACCGGGAGGTGGTTGCCTTACGTTACTCGATTCCCTCTCACTCCCCCGTTTTCGCACCTGTCCTTCTCTTCGTTTCTCTTTTTCGTTGAAAATTGTACAATAGAAACGAAGCCTTATCCAATGCGGACATATCGGACATAGCTGCCGTAGCTTCTCTCTTCCTTTCTTTCCCTCCTCGTATTTTTCATCCCTTCTCGTCGCTCCGCTCGAATAGTTCGACGCTGACGAGCTCGAAATCGTTGATTTAATGAAACGACCGAGGGATTTTCCGAAGCCTAAAGGACGAAGACGTTAATGGGTCGATCGTACACCGAATGGATATCGTTATCGACAAATGAAATCGCGAAGCGTTTACTGGTTCCACGAAACTGACAGGTGTATCCTACTAAATTAAAAGATCGCTATAAAGCTCTGTTCGCGGGACACGATTCTTTTTTCGATTAAAGTTCCTTTGAGAAAAGCCCACGAGTTTCGAATAACACGAAATCCACGTTTCCGCGTTATTCAAACGGGAAGGATAATAAAACGATACTCCGCGGCAATTTGCGAGGATTAACTGCTATCAAAAGCAAGGGAGAAGAAAGAATTTCATTTCGTTGAATTAGGAAGAACAACGAAGAAGCTGCATTAATAATCTCGCTGGAGGACGATCGAGAATGGGGAAACGGTACCGGAAACCGGAGACGCGGGTTTGTTACTTGTTGAACGACCGTCGAGAGGATATCGACTGGAGATTTGTTTGAGCGTGGTTTCTCGAGACGGTTGTCGCGAGTTTCCCCAAGCTCGAAGGATAAAACAACGATTTTCCGGGGGTTGCTCTACTTAGAACGCGTATCCACCGTGAATATCAACGTACACGCCGGATGCGAAGCGCGAACGTTGAAAATTTTAGGGAACGACGAGAGGGGGTTGAAATATTCGAGGAGATTCGGGCAAGCGCAGAGCGCGGCGATCGGTACCCGATAATCCATCAAACTTGCCAACGAAATAGTCTGGTAATCGCGAACCGCAGGGGGGCTACGGTTTAGCCGAGCGAAACGGCTCGAACCGAGGGAAAATATGTGACAAGCGCGTACACGTAAATGCAGGTAGGTACGCGGGACAACCTCAGATATGCGGTAGTCCGTTGCAACCCTCTGCTCCTGATGGGGTATGTGTACGGTATTTCCGGGAGGGCGGCCGATCTACAGGGATTCTCCAAAATAAACGGGTATGCGTGAAGTTCTTGTTTACGGGGGCGCAGACGCTGGAATTCCTCGAGGGTTGCCGTGTTCTGCATTGCTTGCTTTTCGACAACGCGAACACGCCCTCCACGAAACTGTACCCGGTCTGCCCGATAGGCATCCGCCTGTACTATACCAGCTGGACCATTACCGATTCAACCTGCCCTGATATATCAATAATTCATGCGATGGTAGGCCGATCGGTGACCGACCGGCATTTGCGTTTGCGGCCCATAAATTGATTCGTTATGCTCGAAGGTGTCGGACGATAATTCGAACGATCTCCTCTAGTTAGATCGTCCAGTTCTACGTCCGTCTAGAATCGAACGATCCGACCGAATTAACCTTTGAACGCCGCAGTCTGGGTCAATCGTGGCCCAAACAAGAAATATATCATTTTTAAAGAAAAAGTGTTCAATTTTGAAAATGAAAATGTGTCTCTCTCCATGGTCCGCCGTTCAACGATTAACCTTTTTGATATTATAATAACGAAATATATATTTAAAATAATTTTTAAAGGAACAGTGTTCAATTTTGAAAATGTAAATCTGCCTCTCTCCATGGTCCGCCATTCGAGGGTTAACCCTTTCGTTTATTATAAACCACCCCTGTGTACGAGATGTAAAAGGGAACATTCCCTTCTATCGAGCCACGGGAAATATTTTTATCGATCGAAATTTGAAATTTTAGAAGCTTACATTTTCAAATGTAGAAAAGTAAGGAACATCAAGGAGCGTTGCAGTATCGCAATGTCTCGGGAAAATAGAAACGGCCCGTAGCTCGGCACGTGCCCAGCCACTGGACGTATTTCCCATAGGTGTTTTCAATCTAGAAGATGGATAAGCTACCTTGGAATATCGACATCCTCGGATTTGTTCAACGCGTTCGATGGCGCTATCCAAAACTACGTGCCGTATAACGCGAACAAATGATCGCCTACAAACTAAAAAGAAAAAAGAAAGAAAGAAAGATTCCGCAAATCTACTTATGAAAACACCTTTGGCGAAGATTTCGTTCTACCTTCACCGTAAGTTCCCCGACATTATCCTCGGCTCGTCTACGTTTTCCTCTGTGTCGCTTTTTTCTCCATCTTCCCTTTGTCTTTCACCGTCTTGTCGGCCTCGCGAGACCGAACATCTTGCCTTAACGTTACTGAAAGATCAGAACTCGAGCGAATGATGTCGGTGACAGAAGGGCCGAGACAACTCTCGCGGGACGGTGAACGAACGAAAGAGGAAAAACTCGACTACCCGGTGGAAAAGAGGTTCGGGAAAGGGGAGGAAAAAAGGGTGCAGGACGAAGCGATTCGCCACAAAGTCATTTTTCTCGTTCTGCATGAGTCGGTGAATGGAACGGAAAGCATCGAAATTGGAAGGAGGAGAAACGCTTCTTGAAGACGCTCGCCTACTGCAAACGGTTACGTGTGTAAAAAGAAAGATATCCGATCGATGGAATCGTTGAACCCGGATTTAAACCCAAAACTCTCTCGGAATTTTTATAAAATTATCAACTGGACACGGTCTATTTATAAAAAATCCTGTTTCGAATGTAAGTTTGCAACGGGGTGGGCGAAGAATGAAAATTGTTATCGCAACGTCAAACCGGGGCTGTGGAATGATCAGCCGAGCATGAGGCGTGACGACGCGACGGTACACCTTTTCGCGTACGTGTGCATATATACCGGGTGTCCCGAAAGGGGTCGGCATAATTTACAGAGCTCTAACAAACACTCATTTAAACTCCAACACGCCTTGACCATTATCCCGGAGTTTAGAAGGCGGGTTTAGGTGGCGAAAGGGGGATGGAAAGACGAAAGAGAATCGGCGGGAAGAGGAGGAGAATAGAAGAGGTACAAGGACGACCAACTGGTTCACAATGCGACAGGAGAATCTAACGACGAAGTGTAATGGGATTTCGGCTTATCTCGTGGTCCTGTGAGTTTTCCTTCGCCGCGCGACAGAGGGAGAACAAGTAACATGGTAAGAGATAGAAAGGGTTACTTGATGCGTGACACCACATTAATTACCGCTACGTACCAAGAACCAACCAATTTCGAGAGTTGCAATCCCAACCCTATCTACCATTTCGATCCTTCCCTTATCGTTACATCCGATACATTTCCCTTTTCTTCCCTTATTCTACCTTTCCTTTCTTCCCACCCACGCGTCTACCGAGGCTCCTTTGATTCTCTCCCGTTCCGGCTGGCTGTGCAACCCGTTTCGCGTTCCTGTTGAAAATTTCAGACACGCCTCCGCGCTTGCCACTTTCAGCGCGGATAAGAAAGGCCGACGGAAACGAGATCCCACGAGCTTGTTTCCGATTAATAACTCAGACAGGTAGGAGAATTTCCGTTGCAACATTCGTGCAATTACCAAGAAAAGAAGCGTGGAGAATAGTATTTTCTTCTTGAAAATGACCGAACAGATACCTGTTAATATTTCAACCCTGGAAGGAGAAAACGTTTCGCCTTAATAAACGACGTTGCAAAGCATTCTTGGCGGTGCTTAAAACAGATGTACCGAGAGGGTACCAGGCATAAAGTGTAAAATACTTTGCTGCGCCTTCGGAGAAGACCCTCCACACGGTACGCGTGCACACATACCAAAGAAGAGCAAGCTTTTAACCGGATGCATAATGCATATTTCAGGACGGAACACTGGCAGCGACGAGGTTGAACTTTTATCAAGCAACGAATACTTGTTACATCGACTTCTTTGTTTTCGAACCGATACAAGATCAATCTCGAGTCGTTGACTAAATTTCAATACTTTTACCATAAATTCCAAATACGTCCGGCGTATATTTTCCCTTATGAAGAAAAATATCGCGTCGTAAATTTTAGCTAGTTTATCGGTTCACCATCTTGGCATTAACACTTCCAGCTGAACGGTGGAGGGAGAGAGACACTCCCAGGGTACTGCAACGCATTTCAATGCACCTCGTTGAAGAACATATTCCTCGACAGATGCATCCCCCATACGTGTAACGCGCCGCGGGTGTTTCGCTCAGCTTATACGTACTCGCTGCACGTGTGTACAATTTTCTGTCACCCACGAAGGTTTATTAAAGTTGACATTGAAATTTAAGGTCAAGTTTATGGATCAATTATTCATTTTCATCTTGATAAGAAATTTTTATAATCCTCTAAAAATTGTTAGAAAGAAAGAAAAAATTGTACACTTTGAAAAGAATACCGAGAGTGGAAAATAGAGGTACAGCTTTCGGTTATTTCGCGGAATAGGAAGCCGGAAAAACAGTCACGTTTATCATCGTGGTAGCGCATCGGGGATGAACGTAGCGAGAGAGACATAAACGCAAGAAGACGGCTCGTGTGTAAGGATAAAGTGCTCTAATGCACGGACATGTAACGTAATGTAATGGCTCGTTTCTGTCGCCGAGAAAAATGGCACCGGTCGCGAGAAGTGCTCCGCGCGTTAACGAATTCTCGTAAACACACCCGACTGTTCTCGAATCGAACGACGAAATGTAAACGTAACATTTTTGCCCTCCGGGGAAATAGAAAGGTTTTCGATGTTACCCGTTGAATAGTGTTTACCTGTACAAATGCTATTCGTAAGTTTATACAAGTACTTTCTTATAGAGCCGTGGAGAGAAGAATGTTTGAGGAGAATAATTTAAAAAACAGTAGTATATTTCAAATGAAATGGATTGTCGGAAAGTTACCCTTTGTTCTCTCGGTCGGACAGAGGCATTTAAAAATAAAGCAGAGAAATATTCGTCGTCAGAGCGGTAAATATTTGATCATAACAGCTTCCAGCCAACCTGCGGGTCTAATTAATATTTGAAAGAAAAAAAAGAAAAGATACTTGAAGACAAAGTATGAAATGCGTTACACGCGTGCGCCCGTACGAAGAGAAGAGGCTAGTTACCCGGTGTCTCTGCCACTCGAAAGTGGTTCCCCGGTACACTCGGTAGTGCTTCGCGACGACGAAACCCGGAAAAATAATCCCATTTATCGTTATGCACGTTGGATAAAAAGAGTACACAAACAGCAAACTACCGGGAAGATAAATTACTTCGAAACTAATTAAGAAGAAGCCTTCCTTCCTCCTCACTGTTTCAAATCCACTTTCAAAATTCCACGGACAATTAAGTTACACTCTCCATTTCTAATGAGCCAACGTCATTAGCTTCGTGAGGATAAAGTACGCCTAGATGGATTGTCTAATATTTCATCGGTCGAATACGAGTTAATTAATAAATGTAGAACGAGCTCAATAAAAATCAAGATATAACACAAAGGATCGTTTAAAATCATTGTTTCATCAATTACCCGTGCTGTTTTAACTAGCATCAAGTAAAAAATGATGAAGCACTTCAGTTGCGAAACCTTTTGAATACCATTCCGTCTAGGCGAAAATGAAGCTCGAACTTACATCCACCCCCTCCATCGTTAGGTAAATTAGAAAACTGAGAAGGATTTCTCTCGGGTTGCTCCAAGGGGTGATTCCCTTGTACCGTTCAGTCGAGTCTTCCAAGAAATCGAATACTTTAATACATTGACCCAGGAGGATCATCCGTGACCGTCACCAGGAATTTAACATCGTCGAATATTTTGAAAAAGAATAATGAAAGAAATTTTGTATAATATGCTAACGCTAGCGAGGAGGGTTGCAAAATGAAAAATTAAATTTCCCCCATTCTTGCAACCTTAATATAATACAGTATATTTTCCCTATAGCTTTCAACGACTAAAATATCCCAAGCTTCTTCGACTTAACGACTGCTAAATGAGAAGGATAAGTAGAAAAGGGGGTGGAAAAAATTGAGGATAAAAAGCATAGCAGGGGACACGACTCGAAAGGGCGTTGGTGAAAATGGGGAGAGATTCGCGCAGAAAGCCCGGTGTACATTAGTGTGCGCCTGTTTTTCTACCCTCGAGTGCAACGAACAGAACCTGCGCCCTGGGTGGTGTCTGGCAACGCGCAACCACCCTCAGTCACCTCGGTGCATGCGCAATGGTGTATTGATCCTGGGGAATCTGAGATGCACGTAACATCATCCAGTGGTCCATTGGCTGTACACAATGTCATTCCTGTTCTAACGCTCCTCGGGCATCATTTGAACGAGAAAAGACGCGTCAGTGATGCGAGTCGCGTCGGATGTACGTCGGTTGGCGCAGCGTCGCGCTGATTCGAAACAGCCGCGTTCAAAGATTATGATATCCGCGCGAGATCGAATGTGTTAGGAACTGTACATAAGGGAGCCTGAAGAGAACTGATCGCAAGTATGTAATCCTTCTTTCAAATCTATGAATCTATGTACGATTTTTGTTCAGACGATGACTACCCGGAGAAGGTAGTTTTTTAAATTAACACTAATTGCATTTTAATAAAAAAGTCTGATAGAACTTGCCATGTAGCGATTTTGATAGAAATGTAATAAGAGTGATTAGACAAATGCTTTGCTTCAACTGCAAAGGGTTAAAAAATACGGAAAAAAATACTAATTATTCGAAATAGGAAATTAAAGAAGAACTAATTGCAAGTAATTTTTGCAGACATCGAGGTCAACGCGCGATCTCCACGGTTAAAACAATAGAAAGTAATTGAAAATTTTTTAGAATAGGAAATCTAAGGTGTACCGAAACTTTTTTGACCGACTGTATGGAAGAAGACATGACCCGGTGCAAATCGATTGATCAGCTCTATGGATTTTCTTTCGCCTTTCAAAAAATAAATGGAAAAATCTTAGTTGTAGATAAAGATGTTTAAACCGAACAATCTGATTTCCAAATAAATTTAATATAAACAGAATTATAGTTAACGCAACAGGTTCATAACGACGACAAAGCTATCGGCACTAAATTTTAAATAACGACGAATAAAAATTAAATTAACAACAAACATCCACGTGCAAGGTACATATAACAATTTTATTGTACAGGATGTTAATTGGACTGGAATAACTATCCGCAAGCTGTTTGCTCAATATGATACTTCAAGCTATCATTTTAATCCTCACGGCACAAATATGCTACAGCAACCCCGATGCAAAGAGGCTGTACGATGATTTGTTGTCGAATTACAACCGGCTGATCCGACCAGTCTCTAATAACACTGACACGGTGGTCGTTAAACTAGGACTTCGTCTTTCTCAGTTAATAGATCTTGTAAGTGATACTCTTAATTGGAATATTCCCAGATATTGTAATTAATATATTGAATATTTCAGAATTTGAAGGATCAAATCCTCACAACGAACGTTTGGCTCGAGCACGTAAGTCCCAAAATAATCTACCCAATTTTTCTTAAGGTGTAACATTTCTTAACTCTGTTTAGGAATGGCAGGACCACAAGTTTCAGTGGGATCCAGCTGAATACGGCGGAGTCACTGAACTCTACGTACCCAGCGAGCACATATGGCTTCCGGACATTGTCCTCTACAACAAGTACGCGAGAGGAATCTTCATCCAATCGTCAAACTCCTCTCATTGTATTATAATTTTCAGTGCCGACGGAGAGTACGGGGTGACCACGATGACGAAGGCTATCTTGCACTATACCGGCAAGGTCCTTTGGACACCCCCGGCGATCTTCAAGTCTTCCTGCGAAATAGACGTCCGCTACTTTCCATTCGATCAACAGACTTGCTTTATGAAGTTCGGTTCGTGGACCTACGACGGTTTCCAGGTAAATGCATCTAGTGCCAGGCTCCTAATTGCAAACTTCCATCCTCGCTAATTGGTGTGTTTAGATCGACTTGAAGCACATTAACCAGAACATGGGAGACAAAGTGGAAGTTGGCATCGATCTACGCGAGTACTACCCCAGTGTCGAATGGGACATCCTGGGTGTCCCAGCGGAACGTCACAAGAAATACTATCCCTGCTGCGTCGAGCCCTACCCGGACATCTTCTTCAACATCACGTTACGTAGAAAGACGTTATTCTACACGGTGAACTTGATAGTACCATGCGTGAGCATTTCCTATTTATCAGTACTGGCATTCTACCTGCCAGCTGATTCGGGCGAGAAAATCGCTCTCTGTATCAACATTCTTCTATCTCAGACGATGTTTTTCCTCTTGATATCTGAGATTATACCATCGACGTCATTAGCGCTACCATTGCTGGGCAAGTACCTGCTCTTCACGATGATTCTAGTCGGTCTGTCCGTAGTGATAACCATCATCATATTGAATGTCCATTATCGGAAACCGAGTACCCATAAGATGGCCCCGTGGGTCAGGAAGATTTTTATAAGAAGACTACCAAAATTACTGTTGATGAGGGTGCCCGATGATTTATTGAACGATCTCGCTGCTCATAAGATCCATGGAAGAGGGAGGTCCAGCAAGAAGAGCAAATTCAACGCTGCTGTTGCTGCTGCGGTGCAGTCTTCTTCCATTGTGTCCTCTCCGGATTCCGTTCGACATCAGCGAGTCGGTGGTACGTTTCTTGAAACTATGCTTTTAACCTGAAGTTTGAAATATAAATTTCTCTTCAGCTTGCAATGGACTGCACACGACCAGCGCGCACAACAGATTCCTGGGTGGGATCGGTGGATACAATGGACTTCCTACGGTGATGTCCGGTCTGGACGAATCCTTGAGCGACGTAACACCGAAGAAGAAGTATCCTTTCGAACTTGAGAAAGCTTTACACAACGTGATGTTTATTCAGCATCATATACAACGTCAGGATGAATTCAACGCGGTAAGGACTTGTGAGAAATTCGGTTCGAAATTTGGTTTTATTTCATCCTCGTTCTATAATAGGAGGATCAAGACTGGGGTTTCGTTGCGATGGTCCTGGATCGTCTTTTCCTCTGGATCTTCACGATAGCCTCCATGGTGGGTACATTCACGATCCTCTGCGAAGCTCCGGCACTTTACGACGACACGAAACCCATCGACATGGAGTATTCTTCCGTGGCTCAACAACAATTTCTTCCTCACGATGACTTGTTAGATACTCTTGTGTAGGATCGTTCAGAAAGTGTAGAGAAACTGGGGTGTTGATTTTCTGTTTTATCAAACGTTGCTATTATTTCGTCGTGCTAACTGCAAGTTAGAATCTTCTGTATCGGTTCGAATAAATCAACACTTCCGGATTCTTCTTCCCATTTTATCAGGAGATTTTATCAGGAGCGTTTCGTATCTAAGAATGTATATTTCATCTGTACTCGTCATCGTATATGCACGCGACGAACAAGTGCTCTTGAATAACAATAAACGTGTTATCGTGCAGCTGACAAGAACATAACATCGCAATATTAATTGGTAGAGATTTTCTAACGTTGTTTACGTAGAACGTTTACGAATATGCTCGTCAACATTTAATCGTGAATCACGATGATACGTTTTATGACCGAGATTAGTATCTTCTCGAGGAACGACCGAGAACATCGTTACTGTAGTATACGTAATTTTTCAACTATTTAAACATAATCAATCTTTTTCATTACAGTCGAGACATGTACTCGAAATTGTTCGATACCTTCTATGCTTATCAAAATGAAATAAACGAGTAAAATGTATATAATATTGCTTGATTTTTGATAGCGATATCAACTGACTCCTAACGTGATCAGCTAAAAGAAACAGGAAAAGATTGGACAAAACAGATGAGATGCGCCTAGAATATTGAAGGAACCAGAAGTATATCCACAAAATTATTTTTATTTCGAGTTTTCCTTTACATAAGAGACGTCATTTGAAACGTTGAATCAATATATTCAATGTAAATAACTTGAACAGAGTACTATATATCATTCGAGCACGAAACACAAGGTGAACCATCTTTATCTCCAATATAATTCGGATCCTGTTCTCATACTCGTAAATCCTTTCTATGGTTCACTTAAAAATACCTCCTTCATAGGAATACCGTCTATACACATTTATAATTATGCAGGAATATGTTTCACTGAAAGTCCCGGAAGCACCAATAAAATACAAAAATAAATACGAATGGAAATGTTGTAGACAGGAGGCGAACGATTGTTCATTCTGCTCACACACATTCTGCTCGCTCTTTTATCAATGGAATGCACGTCGAAAGAAACAAGAGAATAAGATTCAGAAGTTACACGTGATCGAGTCGAAAAGGCGAAAAAAAGGAAGGAAACGTTCTTTCTTTCGCGGTTTCGAGCAAACATTTTTCTACTTGTTTCTCCCGGAGAAAAAAATATCTAAGGCTAGGAAATATTGGAAATGCAAACGGGAACAACGCTGTTCCCGAGTTGAATGCTGGAAAATACTTTAACAAGAGATTCCGATCTCACTCGCTGTCTGCAAACCTGGTACACGCATACTCAACCACCCATTCTACATCCCACGAAATTTATAATAATCCCGACTATCACGCGTTACAAGTGACATTCGTCAAGGAATAAGCGTCATACATAGTGTATTCGATACGATCCTACGATAATCTCAATCGAATCGTTCGTGTTTTTCTTAACTTAATACGCGAACAAGCAGGGAAATATCTTCTAAAACTCCCATCCCGCCTGGATAACACTGTCTGGTTACATAAAAGAGACCGTAACAATGTATTAAAGTACGCAGTATTTGGAATACCCATTCAACCCTTGCACGTGCCGATATAGTTTTTGCACTTCGGGCAAAAATGATGAACGTTCATGAAGCTGCTGATGCAGTACGGCAGACACGAGCAAAGGCAACATCTGAAATTGAAACGCTATCGGTAAGAAGAATTCGATTATCGAAACCAACACACATCCGGAGCGAAGCAGGATTGCTTTAGGAAACGAGGAGAGCCTGGAGCCTAGAAGTGGAGATTGTCGACGTACGAAGGACTAATGGAATGGAGAGCAAACATAAATTGAAACCTGAATACCACAGTCTTGAATTACAGGAAAATGAAAAGTGAAGAACAAGCTGAAGTGAACTGGAGCGAGATTCGCTCTAGAGCCAACCCTTTTTCGGCCATTTCCGGTCAGATCGGAAGTGGCAAAAAAAAGAAAAAATTCGGCCATTCGTTGAGAAATGGTGCAAGAATTTTTTCGATAAGAAAGTTTAAATGCTATAACCCCCTTCTCAAGATTTTCAATCTTAGGTACGGATTGGCTAATAAAACAGAGGAGAGAGGAAACACCCACGAGGAACCTTATGAAAGGATTGTTAACCGAGGTACTTCTTCAGGAAAATACATTTATACAACTTATTCTAGCAATAATGTTAATCACACGCAACTCGCAATTAAATGTACTCATGATTTTTCATGAATTCGTGTTCTCAGGATAGAGATCGCATTTATGGTGAAAGGAGCAGATAAGCAGAGTAGAGGATAAGCAAACAGATATAAAATATATAAATAGGTACGTTACCCAAGTAGACAAAGTACGATGCAACAGAGGTGAGCACTCGGCTTGTGATCTTGTATCGTGGTGGTCTTGATGCTGGCATGGCACGTCGGGCAGGTCATTTTTACTGGATTCGGGCTCAGTTCATAGATCACCGAATAGGTCATCCGTACATCCGGCGCTGGGGCTGGCGCCGGGTTTGGGTTTGCATTATAGTGCGGCAGCGGCTGCGACGTAGGTTCACTGGTAACTGAACAATTCAATGGATGTAATAAAACCATCTAAAGTTTGATGATTTATACAGTTAAAGGGATAATTACGAGGTGGTCCAGGTGTTGGCATGGAAGATGGTCCTACTGGATACGGTGTAATCGGTGGAACGGGCATGCGAGATGCATTTCCAACAGCCTCCTCGTACGAAGGGGGTGCCGAGGGCGGAGGAGGCGCCGAAGGCGCAAACACCACGTTTTTCTCCATCACGCCTGAAACAACAAGAGGATAATATTTATAAAATAATTTTTCAATCTATTTGCTTAACATCTTATAATAGAATGAATTCTATTTTTAAAATTAGATTGCTACCCTACCATACTCAAGTATGCCGCATTCTTTAATTAGATCAGAGTTTCTAATTGGAATTGCATGAAATGAGAATGCAATAGCATTTGAACGAAAAACGAGCGCGAAAGTGTGCGAATAGAAAGTTGAACGGATGTTAAGTAAGAAGACAACCGCGATGTGTGCTCGTTCGCAGAACCGTGTCTAGAAAAATTAGTGCCCCGAGTATCCACTTGTGTCCTTTGTTCGGCCACAAGTACCGTGGCCTTGCTTTAAGACCGGGTTATATTGTTGAAACGTACAATCGACTCTAAACCTAATTTAATCTGAGCAAGTGAACTTGCACGAATTGTAATCAGCGAGTGCCCACAATTCTTATGTAAATCATTTCATGGAATTCAACAAAATATCTAAATATTTATCAATCTCGTTAATTTACTCGAATGTGACATTCAATAACCATGTAAAAATTAGCATATCAAATACGTTATCGGACGCTATCTTCTCTTAATTAAAAAAAAAAATAAATGACGCATAACTTGTTGCGAAATCATGAACAAACACAGACATCGTTTCTGCTAAGAATTCAAATGAGTAATGGCAACAAAAATGTTCTTTGATTCATCTTTACTCGAAGTTTCGTGGAAGTGTATAATCAGCATTTTTGTAAAATATTTTGCATAAGAATCATTTATGAAGCGTTTATATTTTTGCCACTTAGCCTTTTGCCAAGTAAACCATGTATGGTTTGAATTGCATAAGTACTTAATTATGCAAAACAAAAAGCGTAAACATGATTCGAATATTGCTTTTTCTTTTTGATTTAAATGTGCTGAGTATCCACATGACGTAAAAATTTGACGCATCAATGTAACGCTCCTTTCACAACTGTGACAAGGTTACTTTAATCATAATTGCAACATATCGTACATATACTAATATGTAATTAACGAATATTTAGTTAAATAGATCGTTAAACAAGACATAATATATCAAGATACTTACCAAAATTAAAAGCTGAACGATTATGAGTCACTTAGACGCCTCCGACAGAAGAGAGGTTATAGTTTAGCACCGCGGAGCAGCAATAGATTACGTGCGCAGCGAAAATACTATGACACATATCTCACTGTACAATGTTTAATTATCTTTCAACATCATATTGAATCTTTTGCATGTATTTACACCGAAAAAGAAGAAAAAAGCACACAATACTTCAAAGAAAACCGTCACATTACCACTCTTGAAACGATTGACAAGAGACTGTTACAGTTTCTGCTGGCAACCAATCACAGGACTTGAGATACTTCAACAGAAAAACTGAAAAAAAAAACGGCGCGAGATATGAACCACAGTTTTGTCAGTTCCGGTTGTACACCGTTAGATCACGCTAGCAGTACGGGTTTCAATATAATTTGGATTATATTATGTCGTTATTATTATTAACAAATAACATAACACGTTTTATGGACTTTTTAAATATCTATTCGTATAAAACAAAAAAAATTAAAAGTTCAATTGATTTTACTTGAACAATATTATTCGTTCCACGAAAGAACATACCTCTTTCGTGCAACTCAAGGAAGCCCTTTATTCTTCCTTTTTATATCGTAGTCATATACGCGGCAAATAAAACTATATTAATAGAAAAAACGAACGATAACGTCGAAAATCGAAGAATGTATTAAATACAAGACCACTGAATATATACAACTCGGTGTCACCACGCGCTGGAGCAGGCGAAGCGTGCATGAGTCAACCAGGTAAACATGCGCAGAACGAACGAAACACAGTCTCACATTGACCGAGTGTAATGCGCCGCGAACTTGTATCCCGCGTGAAGGTGACAAGAGTATCGGATTTTCCGAGTGCAAATAAACGTGTAATTGTGTTTAATTAGTGTAATCTACCTGCTTGTACGAGAAATAGAAGTTGCAGTTACATGGGACATCCATTATTTGGTGAGTAAAAGTTGAAATTTGTTTGATATATTACTTTTTGAATCAAAGAATGGTTCACTTTCATAGTCAGGGCTACCAATGACAGATTATTCGAAAAATGGAATAGATTTAGACTACTTTAAAGCGTTGTAGATACGAATATTTATATAAAATAATTATTTATTGAATATTTATAACATGTTTCCTCACATATTCTGCTATGTGGTGTAAAATCTATTTAACCTTGATGTATCGTATCACTTGTGGTCATCATATGCGATCAAATAATATTTCGTTCATTTGTACAGCATTAGTTACTCTTATAATTGTTAAGATATGGATAATTCGTTATTTAATGATGTTGCAAGTCTAAATATTGATAAATCATTTTAAAATTCGTCTTTGCCGACCACTTATTAAGTTGGCAACAATTTCTGGTAGATATTTCTGTTGGTTATTGAACACAGAACTTTATAAAACAGTCTATCAAATGTGCGTAAACGTATGAAGATAAAATTTACAAATCAATTAGAATAAATCAAAATGTAGAATTAACATCAAGGACTGTAATGGTTTAAATAATACTTTGGAACGCGATGAGTTCCAAATAGGTTAGAAACAGTAAATGTAAGTGTGAAGCTTTGAAACGTAATGTTTTGAAATAGAAGAAACGGTGGTAGAAAATTATTATTTACCTTTCAGGACAGCTCATGTAACTGAACTAATTTCTATTTATTATGTTAAACTGTAATATATAAAATTCTCAAAATGATGCATTATTCACCTTGGATCCATCATCAAATGATGTTGGACAATCATCAATGCTATGTACCTTATGTATCTACCGTGCCATCGTATCCACAAAACAATCATGAGCAGCAGCATGTCATGGAAGATGAAAATGAACAAACTGCAGATGAAACTCATGATACAATGACCAGTGCTACATCGGGAAAAGGCAGCTCGAATGCTGATATATTTAGATTAGAATTTGCTGCAGCACAATGGTCAAAACTAGTCTCTAATGCTGAGGGTCTTTTTAATAAGCTCATGACAAGTAACATTCTACCTCACACGGAACAAGATCAAATTGAACAGTGGCTTTGCATGAAACAAGAATACGAAGAATGCATTGCTAATGATGATACAGGTAGTTTACATGGATACAATGAAAATGCAAGGAGATCGTTAGAAAGAATTGAGGAAGTCACAGAAACAGATGAAAAGACAGATGAATCTGTACATAAAATGGAAAGAAAGATTGATATCAATTGTTTATCCAGTTCTGAAGGTGAACTGTCTGAAACTAATGACGATGATGATGTTGATGTTGATGATGAGGATGATGATGAAGAAGAAGATGAAGATGAAGATCACAGCGATGTGAGCTCAGAAAATCCAGACTTCCTAGAAAAATTAGACGAATGTATGAATAAACTTAAAATAGAAACAGATAGAATAGTTGATTCTAAAAAGGATGAATTTAGAAGAACAGATATTGAACTCCTTTCATCTATAACAAGATCTATGAATACTAATAATAATTATGTATCTGCAATCAAACCTGTTCCCCTTAGAAATCCGAATTCAAGAAGGAATTCAATGCTTCCTGGTTCGGAAATGTGTAACGAAGTATTAGCTTTTAATGACAGTCTTAAACCTAATCACAATCAAATATTGAATAATAAAACATTAGAGTTGATTAATACGAAAATCTTAGATAATCGTGAACCTGAAACAATAATCAATGATAACGTTCCAATTCATAATGATAATTCGCCGGATTTATTAATCGATGCTCTTAAAACAACTGAAGTACCGGAACCGATAAAGGAATTGAAAACCTTAGCATTAAACAATGAAGTAAAACAAACGCAGGTGAAGAAAATTCAGTCTGATCTTGACGGTGCCCATAAGCGTATAGAAGAGCTTCAAACGACGATTAAAATCAAAGAACGATTCATCGCGGATATGATAAAGAATTCCGATGCGCGTGCCAGCGCGAAACAGAAATTTCAACGTAAATGGAGCAAATTAGAAGAGGAATATTACAATACAAGGACTCAATTAGCTCAAGCGGAAAATGCATCTATTTACAAGGACTCCGAGGAGAAATCTGCCCATAAGAAAGAAATTGAACTGTACAAAAATATGGCAATTCATTATGAAAAGAGATTAATGGACATTGAAATGATAAAGCAGATCGCTGGTGATTCGGCTAAGAAGGTCTTAGAACTCGAAGGTTCCTTGAACACTTCTAAGAAACAAATGGAGAAGCTGAAGAAACAATTGAAGAAAGAGGAAGAACGTAAGAAGCAATTGGAGGAGGAACTTGCAGGGGATCAAAAGAAAATTCGTGAACTGGAAGAGAAGTATAATTTAACTGCTTCTAAATTGAAAGAAATGCAGTCCGAGAGTGAAGATGAAAAGAACAATAAATCAAGGACAGATTACTCTGATAAAAAGAAGAATCTACTGGATGTTAGCGCTAGAATATCGCATCTTGATCACGTTTTGAAAGAGAAGTCGATGGATCTCGAGAGGACAGCGGACATAGATGAAAAAGAGGCGTTGCGACATGAGATTCGAAATTTAAGACGCACCAGGGATTGTTTAGTAGATGAGAAATGCGATCTGGATGAGAAATTTCAAAAGGAGAAAACTTTGTCAACGGTAGAGGAGCGGAAATTATTAGAATGCGGAGAGACTATCGAAGCTATCGATGCCATGATCGAGCACAAAAACGAAATGATCTGCGGGAGAAAGGGTTTCGACGAGAATCAGTCACAACGAGAAAAAGGGGAAAGAATGCTGATGGAAAGACTGGCGAAACTTTCGGACGGTGAAATGAGAACATTGTTCTACAAGTATTTCTTGAAAGTGATCGATTTGAAAGAGAGCTCGAAGAATTTGGAGGTTCAAACGGCAGAATTGGAGAATCATATAGAAACTCAGGAATGGCAGATACAAACGTTGACGAACGCTTTGAAACAAACCAAACTTGAAGCTGAGAGAAGAATAGTTTTGATGCAGAGGGAACACGAGGAGAAGTTGCACCTCATGTTCAGACACTTTGCGGAGGAGACAAGTAGCTCTGGTCACGAGAGATTAGACAAGGATTCGGAGCTCGCCAAATATAAACGTGAAAACAAAACGTTAAAGAAACGATTGGCAGATGTTGAGGCTCTACTGAAAGGTCCGACACCACCGCGCACAGCTAGTCCGGCAAAAATATCTCAGCAAGGAAAACAAGTTCCTCCGAGCAGTCGTCCGACAACCAAAGTAACCAGACAGCGGAATAAACTCATAATACAGAAAACCACTGACTGCGATAAAAAGAAGAAATGAATTTACTTCTTTCTACGTTTCTCTTTAATTAGCATTTATTTTTCTGTACATATGTTACTGGTAAAGTGTGAAAAATCATAATGATTTTAAATTATTAATTCATACTCTTCCTAGATTGATTTTAACCCGGGTAGCGTATACATAATTTATGCATTGCCGGTAACGTATGTATTTTTATTTTTGTACAGTATTTAAATATTATTTTACTGATAGTAATTTAACAAAATACACAGCTACTGTGTACTGTCATGAAATTTTCTTATGCAGGAAATAAGCATTTTTATGTTTTTCAAAAATGGAACCTCGTAGTAACGATTTAGTCTAATTAAGATTCATTCTCGTACAGATTACTGATCAGTATTCGTTTGATAATCTTAGAAGAAGCTCGATGTACGATTCGTAGTATACTAATGAAACTTAAGGATATTGAATCTCAATCAAAATAGCATTTGCATGTTTCCCTGGACCTCGAAAATGTTATTTAAATAGTTCTTCAAATAAGTATTGCAAGTGTTAACAATCAATAAAACGTAACTCTAAGTATTTAAATGAAACATCACAAGTTCATGACATTTTAGTAGTACCATTTTAAGATGTATCTCACATTTGGTAGGTGAAAAACGAGCACGATGTCGAATAATTTGTATAACATCCCATTCATTGACTTCCAGCAAATAATTTATTGCAATTTTGTAAATAAATCGATAATATGTTAAACATGGCGTTAATGGCTGACCCTTTGGACCCTCGTAGGAGAGTATAATTATTTGATGATCTTCGACACGTTTCACGATGTTTTATATTCATGAGACTATAAATTCTTGGATGTCTCTATTAAGGTGGCCTTTGACACCTCTATTAAACCAGTGAATCATTTTATCAGTTACTGCTTCATAATTAGCTAATTAAATGTAGTATATTGGGCGATACATCAAATTTTTATAGATCCACTATTTCATCTTGATCCTGAATATTAAAAGTGTTTACACTTTATTTATTGTATGGACATTTTTTAATTTTTGTAACTAAAAGGAGCCAGGTACTAATTGCGTTCAAGTGTTAAGGATATTTAATTTCATATACTTTGATTACTTTCATTCGGGTTCGCATTCTTCCTGTCGCAGATTCGGCTACTCGGTAAATTGTTAAGTTGTTTACAGTCCACAGTGACAACTCATTTAAGCAATGCCACTATAATAATCGTACCGTGTTTTCTTCTCCAACGGTTAATTGAATTCTAAGCGATATCTGGTGTAACCGGAAATACCTGAAAACATACATCAAAGGCGTGAAATATGAAATGTTTAAGGTCCTGAGAAAGTACCATCGAATTCATAGCGTGTCGGTCTAGTTGACTGTAACATTCCACGAAATCGGCCGAGCAAAGTTATGTATAATAAAAGAAATCGAATACAATGTTATTTCACATTCATGATTCGGGAACTCGAGTATTTTGCGGTCCTGGTTTATTGTTTTATGCAGTGGCGAACACAGAATCCCTGAAGAAAGTGGTACAAGGGAATTTATAATATTTAAAGTAGGGTATCTTTTTGCATTTTTTGAAAATTGATATCCAAAACGTAAAAAATAAAAGCAAATTTGACGATTGAAATATATTTTGTATAGATGTAGTATCGTAGTTTAGGACTTAGGGTAGTTGATATTTCTAAAGGTAGAAAGAGGGCCATAAAAGAGAAAGGCAGTGACGAAAACCAGACCCAAGGGTCGTCGAGGGTTTCTTCCGGGCAAGGCCTTAGACCTAGGCGAGAGTGCAGGGTGGAGTAAGGAAACGCACAAAGGAGGGTGCTTTTTCGGAATTAGGTAGACTTGAGTTGACTTTCGGACAGTGAAGAGCCTTGATTCTGTGAGCTACCTTGGTGTAAATTCTGTATCTTATACAGATATTCTATTCAATATCATTTTTTGATAGATATAGAAAAGGAGCAAAATTTTATAGAAATAGTTAATTCTGTGGTGTAACCCCAATTTGTTTATTGAAATATTTAATTAAAAAAGTAGTGGACGTGGTTTCCGTAGTGTAGTGGTTATCACGTGTGCTTCACACGCACAAGGTCCCCGGTTCGATCCCGGGCGGAAACATTTGTTTGTTTTTTGCTTTTTTAATTAAACAATTATTAGCACATAAATCCATACATTTTTTTAATTTTTATCGTTACAACGTTTCAAACTATTCTCTTTAAGTCACATTTCAGTTCATTTAATTTTCAAAATCATTCATTTTAATTTCCTATAATTCAAATAACTATAATAAAACATGTTTATTTTTCTTTATATGAAATATGGATATTTTGATGAAAACATTTGAACATATCATTTGCCATAGTGAAAATGGACATTGGATCTTTAATTGCAAAGTTTACAAATTTTAAGTTTTCAATTTATTTTTTGATGTCATTATCTCTATTTCTTTTTTTTCTTGTATTAAGTATTCAATTAGTTAGCGTGTTAGTATATTATATCTTATAGTAATCCAGTGAGAACGGTGTGACAAATTTTATGAGAAGTGGTCACCAACTGTCAGGATGGCCGAGCGGTCTAAGGCGCCAGACTCAAGGTTCTTACCTTCTCACTGAAAGCTGAGTAATGGGCGTTCTGGTCCTCTCTGAGGGCGTGGGTTCGAATCCCACTTCTGACAAATTCTTTTGCAATTTTTAACAAATTTTGTTTATTAATTAAACAACCAAAACATTATTTTAAAAGATATATAATTCAAATACTAGGTAAAGTAAGTGTTCCGTGTTCGAATCCCGTGCTAGAGTCAATTGATTTTTATTTCTTAATATTAAGAAAATAATCAATTAATTATCTAAAGGAGTATTATTAAGAATTATTAATAAATAAAATTGAATTTTATATATATATTTATTGAAATATTATGAACATTGTATAATTTATTTTATATTGCTTTGTAATGCAACACTGTTATATATTTTATGTCGTAGATTAAATAAATTAACGTACAGCGACGTTTTTAATATTATAAACAATATATTTTAATAATAAATAAACTGTGTAATACCGGATGTAACGAGTATAATAAAATAAGTTAGTCAAAATTCCGGTATGGTCTAGTGGCTAGGATACCTGGCTCTCACCCAGGAGGCTCGGGTTCGATTCCCGGTACCGGAAATTTACTTTTTTCCACTTTACAATCAATTTTAAACAAAAGTAGCAATTCGTCCAATCGTGCAACTTGATTTGAATAAATCTTGCCAAAAAATGCATAGAAGAATCATTCAAATCCCTCTAAGTGTTGTTTCACGAATACGATTACTACATCCCGTCAAGATACACAAAATGATAGTTGATAACGTTAGAAACGAGCATTCATTTTCTACTGCTACCGTCACAGTTGTGTTTCAGTTGCATCACTCGATACAATTGTCTGGCAAACACGTTTTCTTTACACTGTCCCTATTGTCCGCGTAAATGCGAGGTGAAACATGCTTTTGCTTGTCTATCGGCATGCAATTACTGCCACTTGTATCGACATTCGCGGAAGTGACTTCGTCTACCCAGCACGTGTGCCTGACTGAATCTATAATTTCGGGAAACAACCGTGCAATTGTATCCGTTTATCCGTAATTTTCTCAACGAGAACCGTGTCGAATTGAACGAAAATAACCGACGATAACGTGACAGGGTTAAAGTACACGGTATGCAACGAACTTCGTACGACACTAGCAACTTCGTGACTTCACCTGAGAAAGTTTTACCTATCCGTTCGTGCGAAGGGACATGGCTGAACCGCCGTTACACGAATGGGTCGTACCCTTTCGAGAATTGTTGAACGTTCAGAAGAATTATTTAAAGTGAGAACAGTGCGATCCCTGTTACGTTCCTCGTATAATTTTCTCTTCCCTTCTCCAGATACAGTGGTATCTGGATAATAGACCCAAAACGCTCGTCATTTCTACAAAGTGCATACCTTCTGTACAAAGGATGGATGCTGAGCGCGATGTACATCTTCGCGATTACTCTGTTCGCGGATATTTACGACAACGTAGATAATTTATCAATTACCACCGACGATGGATGCATCTTCGCCGGGATGCTCGTGGTGATTTTCAAAGCGATGAATTATCAAATTCGACGGAACAAGATAGCACGATTCGTCAGCGAGACGTTGAAGTGCGTTGATGATCTCTCCAAGTTCTCCAGTAAATAGAAACACGTATTTATTTTTCCTTCCGTTCGATGCAATCCGTCATGCAACATTGCATGTCACGATATCCCGTACCATGGTGTATGATAATCTGGTATCGCGACACGATCTGACGTGGCACGACGTTATTTTCCAGATGCTAAGAATGCGAAACCCATCGTCGAAAAATACCAAGTACGCAACAAGGTAATGTTCTACGGGTTCACCGTGCTGGGATGCGTTTTGGGGGTCGCTCTGTTATTTTGCTCCCCGATGGAGAACGGTCTGCCGATCCGAGCAAAGTACCCTTTCGATACAACCAAACCGTTTTGGCACAGGATTGGTCTTTTCATCGAAACCTGCGCCGTTTGCGGTGGTCTGGTCGCAATCATCGCTATGGACAGTATTACAGTACTGACATCAAGCATCATCACTATGCTGCTTGACATTCTGAATTTAAATTTTGAGAATTGCAGCAATCGAGCCTCGAACGATGTAAAGGGAAGATCATCAACTGCCACATCAAATTTTCTAATAATTCTAACAGATTTTTCTTTTGCAGGAAGACGAAATTCGTACGAAGCTCAGCTGCAAGGTCCAACCCCACGCAAGGAGAACAAACAATATTTTCTTATACCGATACAAAGTTTGTCTTCGATTTCATCAAAGACTGGTGTTCCTCAGCAAGGAGTACAATAACATATACAGCTCGAGCATGTTCGTTCAGATGCTCTCGAGTACTTCAATCATTTGCCTGACTGGTTTCCAGGCTGTCGTGGTAAGAGAAACGATTCAGTGTGTCGATCGTACCCGTGATTGATTCGAATCGTTCGTAACAGGTCGGAGGTCAGAGCTCGGACATTTTGAAGTTCGGTGTATACCTAAGTGCGGCTGTATCTCAGCTTTTGTATATCTGTTGGATCGGAAACGAGCTGAGCTATTCGGTGAGAGTTAATTAGAGGTGTTGATTGATTGTATTTCATCGCGTGGTAATGAATTAATGAAAGATTTTTCTGTAAACTACGAAATCCTGCAACATAAATCATTGTTCAGAGCTCGGTGCTGGACAGGGGTCAGTGGCTCTCGGATTGGCATCACGAACATTTGCCCGACGTCGTACGAATGTTCACATTGTCCACGATGTTCACCAGACAGTCGATTACTTTAAAAGCTGGCGTATTTTACGTGTTATCTCTGGAAACGTTCATCGCGGTATGCACCTGTCAACGATTCGCTGACAACATTCTTCCGATCATTTTTTTCATTCTTCACGTTTCTTATACAGATTTCTGTACAGATTGTAAGGAGATCTTATTCGGTATACACTTTACTGAACAACATGCAGTCGACGGATCTTTGATTGGGATTCTATTGCTGTTGAAGATGTTTACGTAAAATGAAAATATCCTGTGATCTTCGGAGATAAGGTATAGTTTAAATATAAAAATTATTTATCTTAATGAAAATGTTCATGGTTATTTTATAACTCGGGAATTTAACGACTCCTCTAAGGACTACCACAGTAGATTAACCCATGATTAATAAGACGTGGCTGATGATTCATTTTTATTGCAAACAGATTCAAGAAATTAGTCTTTCTTAGTGTTTTACTAGTCATGACTGCCTCTACTGCTTAAATTCCTCGAATGAATATCGGCCTAATATTTCGGGGATAATCTCGGCAGAGGTCTCCGGCAAGAATAGAAATCCTATTTTTGGAAAGCTCATAATCGTTAAGACGTCTATAGCAACCTGTTCCTTCGTCACGCTCGCGATGATTCCCACCTCAGTTGGTAGCTTCGGGCCAGCAACCTTGCAAATTATGGTCGACGCAACTCTCTCGCCTCGCGCGCCAGAGATTTACCGATTCGTTCTGTTTGTGCCCGCTAATACGCGTCCAATAATAATCGAGAACAGCTGCAATTTTCACTTTGTTAAACGGACAGCGCGAGGAACGGGAAACGTAACCGTTCGCCTCGTACCGATTGATTTTCATTGATAAAAATCGGATAAGGAATGTTCAAACATTCGGCAGGGGAAGTTACTATTCCTTCTGCATTTCGGTCAAGGTTCGTTCCTCCTCCGATTTCGGCTAATTAACTGAAATTTCGTTCGGTTGCGTGCAAATTAGCCGATCGTCGCGTTGCTAATTTACGATTAGATGTAAATGCAGCCGGGCGTCGATTAAGTACCGTGAAGATTACAACGGCGCTTCGTCATTAATTCGAGAATGAAACGAAATCCAAGGGAAGGCAATTAAAAAGCAAAAACGGACCTTTTACCGCCCGAAGGCTGTCATTCTGTATTCCCTGAAATACGAGAACGCTAGTTGTCTGGGTTACCCTGGAACGTGCTACCTTTAATCTGACCTTTCATCTGACCGATTATTATCACTTTGATTTATGATCTTCCACCTGTTTCTTGCAAGGTGTTCCTCAACATCCAAATTGTTTCCCTAAGATTTGTTCGCTAATAGAAACATCCTTCTTTCCAGTAGCTAATACAAGGACATTGATAGCATCAAATTTATAAATCTTGATAAATCCCTTAGAAATTTTAGATTACCATCGGGGAAAGTTCTCAGTGAATTTAGGCAAAGTGTTAATAAACATCTAAGTATCTTATGATCTCATCGTTAAGATAAAGATGCTGGGTGCTTTTAAGTTACAAATTAAAAGCAATTTTGACGAAGAAAATGTTAAACTAATTAATAATCAAGAAGATGATAATGCTATTCAAATTTTTTCAAATTAATGGATATAATAAAAGTAATATTTTATCAATAAATTAAGGAAGTGATGAACTTGAAAATTAAAATGACCAAAGGTTATCCTCTCGTTTATTATCAATTTATTCTGAGATGTACAAGTATTGGTCTTACAAAAGAGAAAAATTATATATACATAGGTTCCAGTTAAAATTAGGTCCTTCATAATAATGTACCGTGTATACGTTTTATTGTGTTCCGTAAATCGTTCCTCGAATCAGCGTTAAAGTGATTGCCGGCGATGAAACGCCATTTATCGAGGAATAATTAAGCAAACGATGGCACTAACTCGAATCAGCGAGGCATAATTGTCTGGCTTGTTGGTAACTCGCCGAAGCAGGGAAAAGGAAGGAGCATGGTCGTTGTTCTGGTCGCCTCAGCGACGGTACTTGCTTCCTAGACAGATGGTCGCTTTACCACATGTTACCTAACTGTAGGCCTTCTTTAAGTACCATTTCTGTCAGTGGTATCGTCTCTGCGCTGACTTTGCCTTTGTTGCGCTTGAAATTTCTTGCCGCTTCCTTTTCCACGAGGAGGAAACGTGCTAATCATCCGCGTGCGAGCTACTCGCTAGAACGCTTTTTGCAACCTTGCTTCTTGCGTTTTCTGAAAACGGTGTCACGAGTAGAACGGTCTAAAGCTACCAAAATGGCGCATAAGTCTTGATACGATAATACTGATTACAGTTTCATATTCTTCATTATTTATCATGATTCCGAGCCTACTTGGAGCATGAAGCTTCATCCCGTTTCCCCTTTACCTCGTTAAGGATCGAATTTTCATTGGAGCAAAGCTCCGCTATTAAACGGCTGATCGGGATGTGAAGATTAGGTATCAATTCTGACCATTCTCTTTCCAAAATCACAGATAATATTAATATTACAGTAGATTCTTATTATATTGCTGTGGTGAAAATATTACAGAAAATTCTTACAAAATATAAAAACAGTTATTTTCAAGAAGCTTATTACCGATTAATAATCGAGAACATAGAATGGTTATATTATTTTCTAATGAAATTTATGGTACGAAATGGGTCAATCGGCATTTAAATCTTTCGCGTTACGACGATGATCGAAGGAATATCCACGCAGGTTTATCGTATTTCGTACGGGTTATTGTGGAAATTCATTTTCTTTTATTACGCATTCTACTCGACTAGCTCGTTGAAATCGCTAGCATCTGATGATAAGGAACGTCTCGTGGAACGCGCGTAACAAGTTCCTCTTTATTGTCGAATAAATTCCATCCCCGTGTCGAGGACAAATACGTCGGGGAAAAGAAATGATTCTCGAAATACTTCGGTTACCCGCGCGAACGATACGCTAAAACACGAGCGAGGAATCTCAGAGATCCTGTCAGGATCAACGGTCCTGCGTGTGGTCCTCCTGGCAAGATCTCTTTCCACTTATCGCTTCTTTCGTTGGAGGCATAAATTCGCCGGTTGAAAATTTCGTACAGTGCCGGGTTCTTTCTCAATCTTGTCTGACCCATGGGTTAAACGCATCCTTCTTCGTTTCCTCGGAGACGCAAGGTAGAGCTTGCAGGAAGCCAAACGTCTTCAGAAACTGGAGTAGATTCGTTATCAGAAATCCTCCACTGTACGAATTTTCTTCCTCGTTTATCAAAGTACCTCTTGGCGCTGAATTATACGTCTCGCGTGGAACAGGTGTTCGAAAATTATTGTTCAATTACGGAATTACACTAACACTTTCCAGGATTATCATTTTTATTGAAATTGTATGATTTCTTCTCGAGCACGTTAGAGCGTAACAGAGAGGAAAGGGGTACAGTCTTCCATGACAGGGTAAAAATTTAATTGGGCCGCGAGATAGACAAGCGAGCAAAGGGGGATTAATTGGACCGGGTGTAATGAATTTTTTAGAGCACCGACCGCCGCGCGGTCTCATCTTCGAAGTTTAATCGCGAAAATTAATAAGCCCGGCACAGTGGGTGTTCCGCGGGGACGGTGAACGAAATGTGTCACGATACCGATTAATTGAACAACGATCGCAGAGGTATGAATTACTGGTTGATAAATCGTGAAAACAGGGCGCACCGGGCCATGGGCGACATTGAATCGCAGGTAGAAAATGTGTCGGTGAACTGGTTCAAAATAAAAATACCATTATTTATGAATATTTCGATTAAACAGCCTCGCCCTAAAATACATAGAAATTCGATCGAAATCGCGTCGATTAAAATTCCGAAGTTACGCAAGGAACGCGTTGTTACTTGTGTTTCTGTTCGACGGATCGTAATGAATATTTTAGGGCTACTCTCATCAAGCAGGGTCGCGATTATCGTCGCTAGTGTTCGATGAAAAGAGAAAATATACCAGCGATTACCCTTTAATTACCTTCCGGGTGGTCAGGCTGATATTCGCTCGGGTATCCGCGTGTTCGATTAAACGAATAAAAACAGCATCTTTGATTCTGAGGCTGATGATGGTCTCCCGATTTGTCCGTGTAATCTGCCGATCGATCGGTTCAACCACGACACTATGGCCCCGAAAGTTGAGCCGCTCGTGTAAAAAGCTCTGGATAATCGCGATGGTACGCGAGAAAAGAAGCGTGGAATTAAAATTGTTCTCGCCGAGACTTTGATCAGTGATATTTATAATATTGGGAAAAATGAAAAATTCGCGCTTTCCCCAATGAATTTCTCCAGTAAAATTACATTCTCTTACCTTTGACACCGAGCGTTTCCTCTAAATTAAACCGTGAACCGGACGTAATTAAATGGAAAGCTTATTTCACCGATCGGTAATGAAATTACAGTATAAAGATCGTTAAATCGGAGAGTTTGCTGGGGATCGTTACATTAGCCGAAAAAGATGATGTTATCGGTTTTCCTTGAGCCGAGCACGTTTTACAAATTTTTATAACGATCCGAATCCGTGAATAAATTAATCAATCGTGGCCGGATTCGGTCCAGCGGACCACGGACCGTCTGCTCGAAATGATGAAAGAACACATTCCGGGTTATGTTCCGACCGTTTCTCACTTCTCCTGGAAACGATATTCACCGGCGACACTTAAACGCACTCTATCTTATCCGTCGTATAAATAATCTTCGCTTAAATATCGTGGAACGTTGTAAATTTTGATAGCTGGAACATTCTTGGCGGCGATCAGCCATTGGTAACCAGCCGACGGCTATGTAACCAGCCATTAAAAATTTATCATCGACCCGATGCTTTATTGGATTCTTCATTGGCCAGGTGAAATTATAGTAGTTACGCACGCACATCAAGTGTTTCTTCTTCTTTTCTTTTTTTCTTTCGTCTTCTTCTTCTTCTTCTTTTTCGAATGCGGCCTTCGGGGATCGCGCGGACAGCTACTTGTTGAAACGTTTCGTCCAAATCGCCGCATAAAATACCAATTAACAAGGTACCTTTATCTTATCTACCGTAACTCCTCGTGTACGTCTCGCTTATTCCATCGTTCTTCTTTTTTTCGCTACGATATCGAACGCAACGCGTGACGATCGGTAATTTGTTGCTTTTACGCGTCGATCCGACTTTTAAAATCGATCGTACTTAATTAGTAGACAATTTTCTCTTCTGGAGGTAGAAGAGAGACTCGTGTCAAATATTCTGGAGCACCTAGATTTCTTGTTATTAGAATGATTTGTCAGAAAATGTAATGAAAATTGTACTTCTCCTTCTACATGTCGTTTCCTTTATTAAAAAACAGCGTAAATTCCCTTAAACACTAACTAATTTTGGTGCCCTCCTACATTCTTAATTCAAAATATTAAAACAATAATAAACGATAAAACAAACTTTTATTTATCGAAAATTCGAAATTAAACAAAACTTAGAAGGAGAATAATATTTATTTCCGTATTTTATTTATGGCCTAATAATTTTCTCCTACTTTTTCTGCCCCCTTCCTTTGGTGCCCTAAGCACGTGCTTACTTTGCTTATAGGGTTAATCCAGCAGCACCGCTTAGATATAAGGAATCGCATATCCAGCGCGCGAAACGTTAACCGTCGATCGGCAACGAGTTCGTGGAACGATCGGAATGTAAAGCGACGTTCCGCGTAGTTTGTTCACGGTTACGATTCCGATTATGATAGCCTTTGATAGTCTGCGAACTAGAAACTGGGCCTAGCTGTCTGCTCGAGTAGCTACGTGTTCGTCCGTGAACGACGTTGTTGATCGAGAAAATCGTTACGATTTTTCAGCATTTTTCTTTCTTTTTATTGGTAATACGGATCGGTAAACGCACCGCGTCTCTTCTTGAGTAATCGAAGCAGAACGTGATTGCACGGTGCGGATCGAAAGCATCGTTGATCCGACGCCGACGGTTGACGATTCGAAGCCTGACGACCACCAAGGGTTCGAATCGAGATACAGTTAGAAATGGCACGCTTCTTTCGAAACACGGACAAATCGCGAGGCGACGGGGTTGCCGATCGACGGGACGAATCGTAAAATCCCGTGAGCGCCTTTTCGAGAAAGAAGCTAGAGAAAAATTCACCACCGAGAAAGGACGATGTCGATCGGTCGTAATCGTTAGAAGACAATACTGCAACGTACCAACACGGCTATCGCTTTGAAAACGGACGGAGGACCGAAGAGGAAGCGGACGATGAATAGGCCGGTGAGGACGATAAAGAAAAGAACATGGCTATGGAGTTATTCCGATACAGGCTGATGGGGAAACTCAAAGGGGAAGAAAGTGAGAGGAAGAGAGACCGTTCGCTACTGGTATGATAAACAGATGGTACGTCTTCAAATCGCATTCGCGATTTCAATTATAGAACAAGGGTAGCACTTTTCATTTTGCAAAGAAATTAATTATTACTTTTATTCTTACACTGATGTGACACCCTAAAAATGTAGATTTTTATAATTCTAAAATTCCAAGGTTTAAGTTTGAAAAATTTCCAAAATTTTAGATTCTAAGGTTCTGAAATTTTGAAATTCTTACACTTGACCAAAGCAATTAGAAAATTTTTTAGAAATCCTTCGAGATACATATAAATTTAAGCTAAATCCGACATGGCGTTGCGAAACGTGCCCGATTTCTCATGGAATGCCCCATATACATTGTTTCTATTCGAACAATAATGTTTCCCGTTTGAAAGATTGTCGAGGCCATCACTGGTTGGCGCCATCTAGCAAAGACGAGCGACCGAAAGAGAAAGAAGTTCTCGGAGGGATCGGGACGCAGGATCCGAAGAGGGACGAGGAATCAGCAGGGAAAGACCGAGCCGGAGATGGTCGTAGCTCCGCTTGCGCTCTCAGGCACAAACTACTCGACCACCAACCAGCACGGATCCGAAACCCTACCTTGCTTCTTACCTTCTTCTCTGCCCTGGTGGAAGTTCGCCCTAGAAGCAACCCTTCCTCCTTGCCAGTCGATCTGGCCCGACGTAAAACGACACTTGGCATGCAACACCGTTAGTAAACATTATCCTCGACGAGCCTATCGAAGATAACACTCGTTGTTATTGTTGCTTAATCTCCTACGATCTCTCTTAGCTTCATAGGCGATCATGAACGTCGATCAGCAGAGTCTAACGCTGATGACTAGCGAAGAAGGAGCCACCTTGAAGAGATCAAGGCAGCAAGTGATTCGGCTTGTTTCCGATTCGTGGAATTTTGATAAAATTCCTCTGTGAAGACGAACCTTTGCAAGGATTCAATGAAACTGAGACATTGAGGGATCGTCTCTGTGGTTCATTGGTAGATCTTGATGGTTCTTGTGGGAAGGACAAAGACAGTTTGAGGAAAAGTGAAAATTGTGATTATGAAGACTGGGGATTGTGAAATGAAGCTTCCTTGGATGGTGTGAAACTGATTTGGACATCCACGTGCCGAGGGAGTGATCGATCATTCAGGGATCAATATTCATCGCATGGCTCGTCGGATCCAGTCGAAATTTAGCAGGTGAGTCGGTCTTCTAATTTGTAATTAATCGATTTAGAATAATTGCGATTTAGCCTATTTTCGAATTTAACAGGAGGGTCATTGACGACTGACACCTCAAGTTTTATAATTAATAGAAAAGAGAAAATTTTGACTAACCGGTAGTTTAAAATATCAAATTAATCAATCGTCTCGATGACATCTATAATCAACCACCTGCTATCATTTTCCCCTACGTTTAATTGAATGAAGTCTATTAAATTGTCAAGTAGCAGCGAGTGAACCGACTTCATTAAAATTTTAACAACATATCAGTGTCCCCGTATAATAGCATCGATGCTATCAAAAGTTGAATCCCTGTTTAATTAACATATAGCTATTAATCATCGGTCAAAAATCCGTCGGTTCGGACATTCTTTTCTTCAACACCTGAAAGAAGGATGAGACTGTTAATTTTGACTGGACCAATCATTGCCGTTTGTCGAAATTGCTGAGAGAAAAAAGAGGTAGTAGTGATTGATAGAACTTTAACAACTGGTTCGTTGCTACTAAACATTGCCACTTTCTTTTTTTTTTTTTAAGAGATATCATCAGTTCATTTGTAATCTTTGAAATTTGCGAGGTTTCTCTTTACAAAATTATCAAACAGTTATATATCCATTGTAACACAGTTATTTAGGTTTGCATGGAGCGATACATCATTTTCGTGTAACTATAGGCTTCTTGATGATTAGCTTGTGATCACCAGCTCGTTAAGTTTAGATTAGGTCATTTATTCAAACATTGATATAATCAACACCTTGTAAAAGAAGAAATTATTCACCTCCTCCAATCCTTCTGACACCCTCATTTATAATTCCAAATAATTATTATTATCGCTAGTCGACCCACCATTCAATTACACAAATCATTCGGTATCTCTGTTACGTTTGTTCCATCGACTCGCCATTTAATTACACGACCTATCTGTCGCATAACTCGTACTCAAGACTAATAGAACTGTCCAGCAGCGTCGTGGAACTTTTCTAATCCCTGATCAATTCAATAAATAATTCCGGGTGTCGAATTAATTAGAAATTGCCAGAGATGATTACTGAAATGATTTCTCGTTCAACCTTGTAGAATCTCGTAGAAATTCGATACGTTTGCCCGGAGGGTTAATTATCCGTGCGTCCTCGAACCGATAAGGGTCGCGTTTGCCCGAGAATCGGAGGAAAGGAGCAGAGGAGATAGGATCGCCTTGGCCGTGTACAGAAACGACCTTGCAAGGCCACGAAGAAGCCGCCTCGACACACACACCCACTTTATACTCGTAAAATAAGAGCAGACGTGGTGAACGTGCTAGAAGCCGGCGGCGGATCTCACCTAGGGAAACATGCTTCCCCTTCGTCTGCTAGACGGGTTTTCTGTTACGTTCATTCAAGCTGCCACGCCTCTCTGCTCCACTTTCCAGCTTCTTACACTTTCTTACCAGTTCTCCTTTCATCCCGTCTGGGAAATTCAAACAAAATCCTCCTGAGCCAAAAAATTTCAATTCGATTCCACTTAATGAAATTAGAATATTATTTAGAAGAAGAATTGAAAATCTGTCATTTCTCGATACTTTCAGCGTGGAATAAATCTAGCACTCGCAAATTCTTTGAAATCAATGAATTATCAGAAGTACTCAACACTGAAAGAACCTCGAGTGTTTAACGAGCAGGTTACGAAAGTCGATTACGATGCACGTCGATCACCGTCAATTAATCAATCGATTAACGAACAGTCGAGCCCCAATCAAACATCATTTACGTCGCTCCAACAGGGTAATTTTAATTATCCCCCGTGAACAGATGGTCGAGTTGTATAAAACGCGTCCGATGGTACAACAGACGCTTTGAAAGCTCGTTAGCTTTGCTACACAAAACGCTTTTATTACTTTTCATCTATTTTCACGTGACAGCGTTCGATCACTTCTATCGCACTTATGTTGTCTGAACATCCCGGGATCGTGATTGAGTATCACGCGGAAGCGTTGGGATCCTCAAGAAACTGACGCTTCTGATCTGCCGATAAGGGAATTGAATGTTCCATTTCTGGTTTTTGATTTTTATTACGAAAATGTAGTCCCTGATTCTTAAGGCTATCTTGGAGATAAGTTATTCGTCGAAGCGTATAAAGTTGCGATAGAGGTTGATACCATATCAACCTAGTACAGTATTGCAACCTGGTTTTAAGATTTAAAATCAATGCTAATTTATGATTTACCGTCTTGAAATGGATCCGGATTGTAAGAGATCCCGTTGACCCTTGGCTACTGGTTCTCTCCTTTCAAAGGATTCTATAATTAAATTCTATTATAATTTATCCTGGAATAGCCGTATCATTAATCGTAACCACTTCTACTGTCGCGTTTAGAAATGTTTCGAATAGATTTTTATCCCTCGGGTTCGTAAATATACTTCGTCTGGCTGCTGTCTTCGTTTCCAAGATATCCGCCTGTTTCGTACGTCGATTTACGATATGACCGTGTATTACAGCGACGAAAGTGTCGTTTCAATCGATATCTTAATTCTCCTTACCAAATTTCCTTCGATCGCCTCGCCACGGTTCGTTTATTAAATAGATTCCTGCTAAATGAGTTGTCACATTTAACGGTAAAACGTCTAGTTTCTCTGTTTGTTTCTGGTTTGATCATATTTTTTTACATTTTAACAAGAAGGGAGAACGTTTCTTTCGTTGCTGGATTATTTATTCGTCGATCGTTGTGTATCTTTACGCTTACTCGGGCTTCTTGAATTATTAGTCACGCGGATATTCGACGCGGTGCGTGATTTACGATGAACAGAGAAAAATCTGGCAGACCAGTCGCGATCTACGAACACAGCTTTCGTCATGCCTCTCCGTCCGACAGCTCGTGCGTAATTCATTTAGTTACACCTTGTTACGCGCCAACGAGACGCGATAATATCTGCTTAATTACGCCCCATTGTGATGATACTGTACTTAATCGCTCGGAGCACAGGAAATACCTCGGGTAACTTCTATTTCTTTTGTAAGATTTAAGTGGGAGCTTCTGGATGCGCTACTTGCACTTGGTATTTTCGATTTTCATTCATTTTCTGTTGAAAATTAAAAGCTGAAAAGGGTTGAAAATGTTGACATGTTGAAAAATTGAAAAATAGGAAAATTAAAAGCCTGAAAAATTATAAACCTAACAAGTTGAAAAATTTGAAAGGTTAAACGCGTAAATACGTTCATTGCCCTGACAAGGATTAAAATATCTATAATCAAATCCGAGTGATTACTAGATCAGGTAGTAGTTAACGTAATTGAAGTTTCTGTGCGGAAAGGAAAAGGAAAATACAGACAGATTACCGTACTTACACTTAATAGAGGAAGAAGCTTGACGTACAACGCGTAACTCTGTTGTTATGTAAATCAAACACTACGTTATATAAGCCAGTAAATTTTCTTTTCACCAGTTAAATCAGAACAGCTTGTTCGCTCCGATCGGAACAGGTGTTCGTTAGTTCCAGATCAAATTCCACGGGAAAAGTAAAATCGCGCATCAAAGCGAACAAGGAAACGCTTTAAGAGAAAATTTAGCAATCAATGAAGTTATGTTTTACATCGAGATCCGAACGATGACGACGATAGCGAATATACTTTCACTCAACTGGAGAGTGTTATAATATGCTCGTTAAGAGGATAGCATAATTACTAGTACGTTCTAATTACAAACGCGTTCGATGGCTTCTTACCCCAGTTTAACATCTTTCGAAAGTAAAAGCTCGTTAAATAGCTTGTTCCAAGTCCATCCTCATCTCTTTCACTTACGAACTGAATCGAACTCTCTCTGGTCTATTAATTTTTATTCGTAAAAAAAAGAGATATTAATATTGGATCTCCAGTTATGTCTTCATAGACGAAGATTAAAATCTCTTAGAATTCTCTTTTCCTTATTATTCGATCACACGTTACACATTTTCATTCGATCGAGAATGAATAGAAACAGGTGTCTCATTAAATTCACCAATTCCATTGTGACAGGCCGCTGAAGAGATACCGCTAGCAGCGAAGATGTCCCACAATTTTCTCTAATCTTTTATCAACGGTGAGAAAAAGGATTCCGCTAGGAAGGTTCAGTGGACCGATTACCGTGCTTGCGAACCTTGACGATTCGTTGGTAGACTATATCTTTCATAGAACAAAGTCTCCATTTGAATTTGCTGAAATTTTCAGCAGACATTCTTGGCCCAGAGTGCCATATGCAAATACCGATAGATAGCAGGTGTCCGGCTAATGAAAAGTCGTCAATAATGCATGAGGCATTTTATTAGCCTGCCTATCAGCAGCTCGTATTATGAATGAACCTCGAATCGCTAAAAATAGACGTGGCTCGTTGTTTGAAGGCTGTATGTCACTCATTTGCGTATCGCGGATGACCCAATCGTGATTGACGTATCAAGGAAATTGCATATATAAAAATGAAAAAAAAAAATTGTATAAATTACGATAGAAACTGAAGAATGAAAGAACTGGTTCTATTTGTCGCTGATTCCATTCAATATGCAATCGTAACACGTACAACAAGTATCTTCAACCATTATAGCAAGGTTATTCCAACTGGAATAACAGGTTGCAGGTGTAAACCTTTCGCGTGACACCCTTAACCTGCAGGGCAAAAAGTTTCAACTCAATATAGATTCAACTTGCAAACTCGTGACGTACAGGCTTATCTGACTGTTTAATCCCCGTTTACCTGCTGCATGTTAATGTAATATCTTAATTGATACCGTTATCTCTTCGAACGTGTCGCTGGGGATATTCCGGTTGAACGTGCCCTGGTCATTGTTAATTTTATTCCAAACAACTGGAGGATATTTTTCGTCTGGTTTTAATTAATACCTTGTTACGCGACGCGTGAATTTTCATAAAAAATTTTTTGGCATTTTAGGGGTCTTTTCAGGTATTTCGAAGGTCGGGATCTTAAATTAAGATTACCGGAAATAAAAATGTTTCCTACAAGAATTTTAATT